CTTTTCTAGCCACAGTTTCTGTAACAGTATTTTTGCCATTACTGTACTTGGTGCAATCCAACCAAGTGGATCAAAAAGTCTTTGTATGTCTGATAATATTGCTCGCTTTGTTACATTATAATTTTCAGCTTCTGGTAAAGTTAGATTGTATTGAAATGTGTCTGTTTTTAGATTCCAGACAATACCTAATGCCTTAATTGTTCCATCAAGATTCATGTCTATATGTGCGTTATTTGATCTTTTTGCTTTATCTATAGATTCTAGGAATTCAATATCATTTGACGACCATTTGGTAAGTTGGAAACCGCCTCTTTGTAGTATTTTTGTGACAGTTTTAGCCATATCAATAGCAGTTTGTGTATCATCAGCTCCATCAAGCCAGTCATCCATGTAAAAGTTCTCTTTGATGGATTGTACAGCAAGTGGTTGATCTCTTCCTTCATCATCAGCTGTTTGGTGAAGAGTTCTGACAGCTAAATATGGTGCTGATGCTGTACCGAATGTGACTCTTAGCAAACGGTATTCACCTAACTCATCATCTTCATTAGGTCTCCAAATAACTCGCTGGAAGTCTGCGTCCTCATGACTCACAAGTATTTGGCGATACATTTGTTTGATATCGGCCATGAAGCCGACACGCTTCATCCTCCATTTAATGAGCAGGCTTCGCAAATCGTCTTGCAGTTGCGGGCCAATCAACAATTCTTCATTCAGTGAAACATTGTTTGTACCCTTACAGGAGGCATCGAAAACAACGCGAGTTCGAGAAGTCTCCTTGTCAGTACGGACTATAGCGTGGTGAGGTAAGTAGACTGATTTTACTTCCGTTTCTATTTCAGGTATCTTCTCCATGTGACCTTGTTCTATGTAATCATTTATAACCTTGGTGTATTCTCTTTTCAGATCTGATGACTTTTTAAACTTCCGTTCAAGCTGCAAGAATCTTTGTTTTGCTATTTCCCTTGTGTTCCCTTCAGGTGTTCGTAATTTTGTAATAGTGCTCATTTCATTTAGTTGTGGACTGTATATTTTGAAAGGTAATTTAACTATGTACCTTCCTTCCTCATTTCTAGTTGTTGTTTTATCGTAAATATATTCACACATCTTTTCTTCTTTTGTAAAGTGTCTATCTTTGACTATATCTATTTCCCACATGGATTTCAAAATTTCATCGACATCAATTTGGTGATGCATTACAAGGTAGGTATCGTTTTGTGGTTTTTCATAAACATCCCCGAAGATAATCCAACCCAGGTTGGTTTTTTGTGCAATTGGTGTGCCTGGGGGACCCTTTATTAAGTCTGGCTGTATAATCTGTGCATATTCCTTAACTCCTATTAGCATGTCTACGGACCCAGGTTTTAAATAACTGGGATCAGCCAAGTTAAGCCCGTCAATGTGAGGCCATGGTTGTTTGGTAATTGTTTTAGTGGGTATCTTAGTGGTCAGTTGTTTCGACATCACGTAGGCTTGGATTGGTAAACTATAGTTTTGCTTCCACTGTGATCTTATATTAAGCTGTACCACGTGTTTGATCTCTGTTCTCGTAGATCCCACTCCTACGACACTTCCTTTGAATGGTTGTCGCTTTAGCTTCAATAGTTGAGTCGCCTTTTCGCTTATGAATGTCGCTTGAGAGCCCTGGTCTATCAGTGCGCGTAGTGAAATGACATGGCCTTCTCTATTGGTTGCGTTCACTATCGCAGTTGCTAGTAGCGCCGTTCCCCGTCTAGTTGTATGATGCGACGCGATCATTGTGTTCACTTGAACTGTTTCTCTATCTTCTACTACATGCTGTGATGCCAACGGTTGTGAAGTGCTCGGTATAACTGTTGGTTCTGTGTTCTTAGACTCATGTAATAGAGAGTGATGACGTCGATGACATTTCTGACAAGATATCGGTAGTCTACATTTCTTCACCGAGTGTCCAATTCCTAGACAGTTAAAACATAGATGTTTGTTCTTTACGTATTCAGTTCTCTCACTTATTTTCATATCAATAAATTTCTTGCAGTGACACAACGTGTGGTTTTCTTTACACAACATACATGATTTCTCTATAGTTGGTGAGGCAGCATGGTGACAACGTTCTTTCACTTGTTTTTCTTTTAAATGATTGCTAGCAGAAATGCCGATTACTAATTCCAGGGTGCGGAACTTAGACTCCATGAAGTTTTTTATATCATTCCAGGTAGGTAATACTTCACTGTCTTCCTTGTAGGCATATTCTTCCCAGTCTTTGTGTATCTCTGGGTCAAACTTCTGAACGAGTAGAAATATAATTACATGATCCCAAGAGTCGGTGTTTACTTTTAAATTGTTTAAGTTATTAAGACATTCTGTAGTAGTGTCTAATAAGCCTTTTAACTGGGTTGCTGACTGCAAAGCCATTTTACGTTGGTTGAATAACCGTTTCATAATACAATTCAATATAATGCGTCTGTTACCATACCTCTTATTCAAAATATTCCATGCAGTCGCGTAATTACTGGATGTCACTTGTATATGTGTCAACAACACCTCTGCTTCTCCACTCAAACTGGTTTTTAAATAATGCAATCTCTGTACATCACTGAGGTCATTATTTTCGTGCACCAAAGAAAGAAATAAATCCTTGAAAGTTGGCCATCCTTCTTAATTTCCATTAAATTTAGGTAATTGAATTTTTGGTAAATGCACTATATTATGCGCTGTAGTCATGTTGACACTTGAATTCCTCGAATCCATCGCGGTCGCTTGCGACAACGATATAAGCATATCCTTCAAATCACCTTGTAATGAGCTATATAATTCTTCGTATATAAAGAATTCTTCATTGAGAAAGTATGGTAAAATTCCCTTTTGTTCTTTAGGTGTCACTTTAATTAATCCATCATGAGCGTTCTTGAATGACATCCAATACTCGTCAATAATTTTAACACGTGCTTCTATGTAACCTTTCGTCAATCTCCCTTTTGGACACTTTTTCAAGTTTGCTTGAGTTTTTCTAAATAAATTAGCACCATCCTCCAGTATAGATAGATATTGTTGTTGTTCTTTAGTAGTATTCATGGTTTCTTGACTAAATTTCACTTTTAACTAGGCTTCAACAAACTGTTCGTATGACTTGATGTTATTTCGTAATGACGTTAGTTACTTTGTTGCATTGAAAAACATAATCCATATAAAACGAAGTAGTTTTTATAAAATCTCCTTATCGCTGGAATGTGGTTCTTTTGTTCGACGGCACCGGTGATATGTTTACTGCTCCGTAGTTATGACGTTCGGCTCGAATGCGACCATATGATGGTTGTGTTAAGGTCTACTTTCGTTTAGAGGGATTTTAAATTGAAAGACGTGCGTTGTGCCACTGATTTAATTTGCAACTAAAAACATTTGATATTACCCTACGTCTTTATAATCACAACAACAGTTTAACACAACTTAAATCACAAATTAAAAGAAAACATTCTTACCAACTCTTGGATTCATTTTACTCTATAATTTTAAACACAGCCGTATTTCAAACGGTTTTAAGTTGAATTTCAATTGTTACTAACTTAATTTCTTCGCTGCCACTCGTCCTAGAGGTATTAAGGCTCGGAACAGATGAATCACATTTCAAATGCAAAACACGGAATCGGACTGCTCGTTTGGTTTGCAACTGTTTGGTCATGTCATAACTGCAATAGAATTGCAATCGAACTGCACGTTTCATTTACAGTTGAAATGCGACCCGTCTGTCTAGACCTTAACAGTAGCTATAATACATTCATTGTTTATTAATTATGTCACTAAGGTACACAGTAAATCACATATACTAAAGACTTAGTACGAATTTGGTTTATGTTCAACGAGATCGAAAGGAGACCGCGTTCAACGTTTTGATTGGCCGGCTCTAATGAACCAACCAATCAGAGCGTCGAACGCGGTTTCCTTGCGAAGGTAAAATAAACTCATACGCGCTCTGGTCATAAATAAATAATACTGAATAATTTTCTTCACTTGTCTATGTATAATCTATTTTCCTAAATGCAATAGCGGTGCAATATATTTTTAATCATTGTAAATACTGATATACCATTAGTAATGTACCTCTAGCTATAGACAGGTAAGAAACAAGCATGATTTTTAGTACGGAATTTAAAATACATAGTGGCAAAAAGAAACAGAACTGCAGCTGTAGCCAAATGCCACTTAGCGCTTGTCTACATGTACAATAGAAAACTAAATTATATGGGATTGACGTAAATTTCGACACTTCTCAGTGTTATCCCCATACATTTAGTTTTCTACTCTCTCTATAGACAAGCGCGAAAGTGGCGTTTGGCAAGGCACAGGTTTCAAATTATAAGGAGAAATTCGTACAAATTCGCCGCTAGAGGCGCTAATGAGAACTAATAAAGAAATTGATAGCGTAAAATCATTGTACACACGACTACATATGGAGCTATAAACACTAATTTATCGTGTTCTCTTTGTATGACCTCTCCGAACATTCAACGCTCAGTTTATACTGGTTTGGCATGAACTATACAAAACTATATTTAAAAAAAACGTAGCCCCTCACTAGGATTTTCTCCTGTGTCGTGGGTACGTTTACAAACATAGGTAACCGGAACAACAATATCACACAAAGAATTGTTCCGTGCGGGAATCGGACCCGCGACACGTTCCGCGGCAGGCGGTTGCCCAACCACCGCGCCAATCGTGCTGTCAATGATGATCATGGTCTCCCTTTGTATGACCTTTCCACACATCCGAGGCTCAGTTTATATTGGAGAATGTATAGCTGTGTGTACAATGAATTTTTGATAGCTACCGTGATTGGAAAAAGTAAGTAATAATGCCATAATTACGGTGAGCGGAAACCGCCCTCATTGAGCAATAACTTAGCAATAGGCAATGATGCATTTGTAACGTTTTTGAACATTTTATACATTAACTAAAATCGCGGGTTGCTCACGTGAATATACTGAGAAAAGCTCTACTAGTTTCGAACCCCAAAGGGGTTCTTCCTCATGAGCTCACGTGAGTAACCCGCGATTTTAGTTAATTTAGTGTCTCACGATAGGTATTATATTTTATACATTTTGTGGCAATTTGTATGTACCGTGAGCTTTGATAAAGAATGTGAAATTTTCAATTGTACTCTATTCTTTCATCCATCTATCACATTTTTGTCTTACTTATATTTCTGTCTCTATCAAACTTCGAATGGAAGAAAAGGACAAAGATATATTTTATAAGCGAGAATATCTATTAGTTATTCGCTTTTATAGATCTCAGACCGATACAATATTACATAATTTCATTTATTTGAATAATACACTTCTATTTAAAAAAATAATACTTTTACCAATAAATGCTTGTAAAGTTATAATGTGCCTCTTATTTTGTAATATTTATTGTAAAATACATTTTGACAAAAATAAAATAAAAATGGAAAATTAAAATACTGATTATTTTGTTCACCAAGTTACCATAAATCTATGGTCGGCGCGGACATGAAACTCAATTTTGTAATTTATTAAATTTCTATGAAGCTTTGTAATGTACTTACCATATTTTTATTTATTTCACTTAATGAACATTGGTCAAAGAAGATTTTGTCACTGGTATGCACAAACCAATGGTTTTAAACTGTGACCGCTCGGTGTTTGACAGTTTAAAGGCAGTTATTACCTATCAGTATGTTGGAGCGTCAACTGTTGTCCTCGAAGCAGCAGAGAGCTGTACCCAGCATGATTAACACGATGCCAGCTATGGACTCTGAAAATAGTATGAGAATAGATTTTATTCGAATAAATAATAATGGAAATAATCTTATATGACTAATATTTATGGGCTGACGTTTGACCACTATCTCGTCTGGTGTTGCGGTCTACGATGGAGCACGTCGTCCCGTAAGCAACCTATTCACTCGGGCCTTGAAGACTCCCAGGTTTAGGGTCTTGGGTTCGATTCCCGGGTCGATCAAAACACTGCTAGGTTTTTAAAAAAATTCAGTGGTAGCACGGAGTCTGGAATTGTGCCCGTTATATGGTTCACCCCCTATTACTTGGGACTCAAAAATAAATAGTGAAATGTGGGTGTTACATTGTACAGTGGCATTAAGTGCCGTAATGTGCACCTTTGCCTACCCCTTCGGGGATAAAAGGCGTGATGTTATGTATGATGTTACTATACTTATATTATATAGTGTAGGTACCAGCGTTTACCAGTGGTACCGTTATTGCGACTTTCTCGTTTAATATTACTTAACTCGTCGAGTACCGGTTTTGTAGACACAATTAAAGAACAATAGGTTGCGGTCACCGGTGACCGCTTGGTGTTTGACAGTTACAACAAAGTCGCTTCCCTACGTATCCCTATGTATGCTTAGATCTTTGAAACTAGGCAACAGATTTTTAATAAACAGATAGATATAGGAGAAAATTTTACATGCATAATATAGTAAGTATAGAGGTAAAACCAGAAAAACCGTGCGAAGCCTAGACGGGTTGCTAGTAAAGTGTGAAGTCTTACTTGCATCAAGAGGTTCCTCAGCTCCTACGGCGACGCCGGTGAGTGCGGTGCAGACGAAGGCGAGGCTGTTGGCGGTGGGCACCACCACTGAAAGGGGGGCGCGCTGCAAGGCCGCCAGGTAGCTCAGCGAGCCTGTCTGATTCACCAGCCACGGCAACACGTACTGAGCAGTTACATGCATTTATAAATAATGTCAAATTCAAATTCTTTATTTGCAAAATATGGGTAAGGTAACAAGGTGATCTGAAATGTAATTATAAATCGCAATAATCAGGCTCACGCCATGGGCCTCCGGTAACCTCACTCACACGACGAAACACAACACAACGTTGTTTCACGTCGGTCTTCGGCTCGGCCGTGGTATCACTCCGGTTAAGCCGGCCTATTCCAGCCGAAGCATGGCTCTCCCACACTTAGATATGTATAATCTAGTTACTACCGTCGTTTGGCTCGTATTGGCCCTAGCGTGACGTTATAGGGTTTAGACAAAGTGGACTAACGAACTTAGTTAAGGAGATTTTTTCAATTCCACGCAGTGGTTCCCGGGATTTGGTACTTTAAGATAAGATAAAGATAATTTTAGGAAAAGTATTTAAGGTCTTGGAAACCTCTTATCTAGTTGGTTGATATCAAGACCAAAAACTAATTTGAAACTTTCGGTCTTTTTTTTCTAAAGAATTTTCCCGCCTTGGTCGAGGCGAGAGTGACAGACTCTTATAGATTCAATACCTCCCCGTTTCTACTCCTGCTTGGAGCCGGAGCTACAACCTGTTGAGTTTTGCACGGCTACGGGAGAGGTAGGTACTTAGACTTGGATATTTCTTATTCAACATTAAAATTTAACGATCTAGTTACCTTCCAATTCCCAAGCAGGAAGGTGATTTCAGCCCAGATCTGTCCTTGCACTGTGGTGGCGGTGACGTCACGGAGTCCCTTCGTACCCTGGCGGATGAAGGGGTTCGTGCAACCCCATAGCACACCGGTCAACACCAGAAGTCCTAAGAAGAAGGTTTTAAAAGACTTTTGAAAAATGCATACTTACTAGGAAAATGTACTAGGATCGGATAGAAGCTAGGAATTGATGCCAGTATACGTGAAAGTATTTATTGGTACTTATTTGTATGTAAAAACTGTGTGAAAACTTTTAATGGTAGGTATTAGACAATAACCAATGATTATAATATTATCGGACATCAACCACATGTTTTGGGTCAACAGTCAAGAACTACACCAAGGTCACTAGATAAAAAAAATGTTTAAAATTGATATTTAAGAACAATATACCTAGTTAGGTAGTATACTGACGAATTAAGACATTCCGTTTTGTGTGGTGTCTGCTCATCATCCTAAGATCCAAAATTGATTCTAGCCAGCGTTATTCCACCAGATTAAAATTGATTTTACTTTTCCATTTACTTATAAAGTCAAAGTCAAAGTAAAAAATATTTATTTTAATTAGACCAAGAAGGCACTTTTGAATGTCAAAACAAAATATTGAAATATTAAAAAAATGTCAGTCTGTCGGTCAGTCCCCTAGTGAAGCTATTTGCATGTTCCAAGTTATGGAGAAGAACTAGTAAGAAACTCGATAGGTTATTCTTTTTCAATCAGGATTACAATTCAATTCTAGGTTACATTGTTTTGTTGGTTCAATATATCAACAGTCAGTGGCAGCCCACTGCAAGACTGCTGGCCTCCTCTACATAAGAGGAGTTTGCCATAATCTCTACGCTAGCTAGGTGTATCAAAGATTGTGGAGACTGATTTTCTTTTTGTCACTTTATTTTCTTACTATCTGCCTAGTTAGGTATTTCGCTGGTGATTAAGAAGTTCATGTATTAAAAAATAGGCAATTAAAAATCAGTTATGTATAAAAATACTTTATTAAACAATAAACATAAATTACAGTAAAATTATAGGATAAATGCATTATCATTGGTTACACAATTTCATACCAATACAATAGTTTTACAACCATTATAAATGTATTAAATACTCTACCCTTTGCAATAGCAAATAAAGTTGTATTTCATTTGTTCTAGTTTAAATAAAATAATTTAGAATTTTGGTATATTAAAATTAGAGATCAATATTACAGTCAAAACGAATTAAATCTATATGTATAGTATATATCTACTGGTATAATACATACATAATTATCACTTTCACAAGTTTATTTAATATTGCAAGCATCCACTTAAAAAAAATAAAAAAAAGTTAAATACCTACATACACAAAAGTTATTAATGTAGCTCCTTCTGGCAGATAGATTAATAAAATGCAAATGGCGTCTACAATTCCCTCTTTTTTGAGATCAAAAATTTCTTACATAACATCAACATGTCAATCAAAAAAAAAACAGATCAATAATTTCTTTTGATGTAATAATCTCATTTTAAAAATTACCTGTAAGTTAAATAAACAGTGCCTCATGATATTATTACTGTTGTGACATAGTATAGTGTAACATGCAACAAAAACAATATATTTTTCAAAATTTAAAACAAAAGAAAAATACCAAAATAATTCAATAAACATTATAGACAGTCTCTTCATGATTTGTGCCATGTATGTACTTAACATTGAATACTTATCAAAATATCTATATAAAAAATAATATAATAAAATTGTAGTAAATGAAAATTATGTAGAAATATAACATTTCCACCATTGGCATAGAATTAATCTCCCAGTGGCACGCCTGGAGTCATAGCCTTTATTTCACTGAACTTGCACTGATTTTTCTCGGTGTCCAGATACTCCACAAACTGCCGTCCCATACTGATGGATATTTCCATTGCCATGAGACAGTCATTCTCAGCCCGATGAGCCTCATTCGCAGGACGGTTCAACACTCTCTCATATATATCCTTCAGCTTATATGAGCGTGTAGGTTTTGGTTTGTTTTCAAAAAATATCCTCCGTTTAACCTTCTTGATCTTTGTCAATGTTTGTCTTATAGGTTTCTGTTCTGGTGTTCTATTATTCTGCTCTTTCATTATCTGTTGAAACTTCAAATCATCACATTCATCAAAATGTTTCATTACATCTTCTGTTATAAGTTCTTCAGATTGAGAATTTTCAACATTTGCACTTTGTTCCTCACATTTTGGTGAAGCTTCACGTGACGGATCACACAGTTTCACTTCCTTTTCTTTGTCACCATTTTCAGCAACATTGACAATTGCCAACTTGTTCCCTTCAGTACTACCCGCTCCTTTAGATGGCTCAAGTATATCATAGAATGAATAGAGGCTATCCCCACATAAGATATCATCAGGTAACTGCACTCCGAGCTTCTCAAAGTGATTTTTCAAGATTGGAAAATCAAATGAATGGCCATTTTCCGAAACCAAACAAACTGGTTTCTCTAGGCACTGTAGAAACGAGTTAATCGTATTAAACACATTCAAGTTAAATAGCGTGTTGTGCTCCAGGAGGTCATTGTTGAGTCCAGTGATTTCGGTGCTGTCTGGGTGAATCATTCTTCCAGGGTTGAAACACATCGACAGTTTGTCAAGCACGCGCGGCACGGCCCCCGGCCGGGTGTCCAGAAGGTGCCGTCTTTTCACTACCACCATACTTAACTCAGTAATTCGTGTTTTATTATTATCAAGTTTTGGGAGACCCGTAGTCTCTAAATCTAAAAACACGTATGTAGCTATCGGCGCCATGATGAAAACTGAGAAATCGTAAATGCTTACCGATTGCCTCCAACATTATGCAGACAGCATAACTTTATCAGTTATCCACTGACGCGCTATTGGCCAATTACCTTCCTCCCTCGTTGCAATATTAGTCACTCTCGGATGTTGTTGCAATTAGGGACTGTAGGATGTGTTACACATACTTATACACTTAAGAACACAAAATATTTCTTCAAAAATAACTTTTCTATGTGTTTTATTACCAAATCGTACGATTATTTACATTTGTTTGACATCTACAATCTACATGACGTCGGTGTTGGCTATTGATATTGACATTCTCATTTGTCACTTAAGCTGTTTTGAAGCGTTCGGAAATCAATTCCATAAATGTTTATCATGCAATCCTTTGTGCGACAGCAATAATTCTTTTTTGGATTAAACTTCATTTTCTTTACTCACTAACACACCTACTAATATAAAGTTAATCCTCAGTAGGTAATATTGAATCGGACCAAAGATGGAAAAATTAATTCTCCCCCTCGTATCTTATCAGTTTATGCTTTTATCAATTATTTCTAATAATTTGCTATAAATCATCTATATTAGGTATTAGTGCGAACCTGTCAGGACCTGTGTAAACCTGTCATGGCTTGTGCCAACCTGTTAACCATCATTGGCCTATTACATAACATTACGCCTTTTTATCCCTTAACACCACAGTATAGTGTAACACCCACTTTTCACTGTTTATGTTTTCAGTCCCTTGTAATAGGGGGTGAGCCTATTGCAATAAAACGGCCACAATAGGGTAGATGACTATTTTTTATTTTAATGTCCGTCTGGTAGATTATTTTAAAACATTACACACGAATTTTTTATTTTTTTTACAGAAACGAATTCGACAATATATTGATTTGAAATATCGCGTGACGTCACTTCTGTGTACATTTTATACGTAGAAATGACGTTATAGCCCCCACCCTTAAACTTTGATTCGTTTTATCTTAGTATCATTTTAATATACAACACAATAAAAAAATACGAGTCTAATATTTTTTCATTACATTACTGACGAACTAATTAGATTTTTAATTTTCATACCCTGTCATCATCCCTTTTTAAGACTCCGTGCTACTACTGAGATTTAAACAAAAAAAAACCAGTACTTATACTTAGTCATTAGCCTATTACTTAATTTAAATTAATTTTAGCCGAACAGGTTCATCAATTTTGTGCACTTAGGAATGTAACTGAATACCGCGGCCCCAACAGAAAGCAGGAATTGGAATAGAATGGTTGGACTTGGAACAGGAACACGTTGACACTCCCTTCCGTCTAGCCCAAAGTGGTAGGAGTCGTTTGGTGATGTTTCATCCTTACAAAAAAAGGTAGGTAGATACTTAGCTACCTAAGAATGTAACTAAAAAATAATAAAAAGATAAATATTGGTAGATTAGGTATATTTTTTATGATATCTATCGTCAGACATACTAAATTAAGAAGACTAAAACTGAGAAAGCTCTTCTAGTTTCGAACCACAGAGGGGTTCCACCTCATGAGCAGCGTGTGCGATCACAAAGGTGACAAAGGCGCGACCGCGATCAGTATATTTACGTGAGTAACCAGCGATTTTTAGTTAATAGAGTAGGTATAGGTATGCATACCTACCTACTCGAAAACTATAATGATAGAAATTTTTAGGTCATTGTTCTATTGGTTTATAAAAGAATATCGACGATGCCTAATCCATCTGTAATCATTTATGTATGCGTTGCATAGGTAGGTACCTACTTAAATAGGCTTGCAATTTCAAAATACTATGTACCCTATAAGTTGGTAAATAGGGACATTGATATTGGACACAATAAAGTAAAAATCAATAGGGAGTTTTCATAACTTAACTTTGATATAACTAATACTTTTTTTATTAGGTAGATAATCTTCGAATGATATCTCCCGCCATCAAGTGAGGCAGGAGGGAGTGTCAGACTCTTACTGACTGAAAACCACCCCGTTCCTACTCCTACCATTCGAGCCGGAGCCCCGGCAACCCGTTAAGTACTCCACGGCTCCGTATCCGCATCAGCCCTGTTGGACCCCATCTGTGGTAGTCTGATGTCTCTTTGAGGCGCGGGCGGAACGCGCCGCACGCTATTACTAATACATAATATTGAGGACTACTGGGGATTGTACAGCTGCACATTCATTCAAGTGATATTTCTTACTAAAAATAAGGATAGGAGCATGAGCCGCTACCGTGAATTTAACTAGTAGAGCTAACTTACCAAACAGTGATGTAAATAATTCGTTTACCATAATTAATTAATGTAGTTTTCTTGATGTGCATTATGCAAGGAGGTAGGTATTGTTAAACAACTCAAGTTATCTACTACATTATTACTTGCAAATTAATTGAGCAATATTGATGACTGTCGACTACTTTATTTACTACTAGCTACTGACAAAGTAAATTATCCTTAACGTTCACTTTACTAATAGATCTGTAACATATTAACCTGAGACTAAAAACTCAAACATAATGCCTTATTTTGGAAAGACTTCAGAAACGAATAATAATGAAGTCATCATAAGGACTGCACCAACAGTGATGTATAGAGAAGTATTGTTATACAATGTTGTAGATAAGGAGCTACAGTCCGCTCTGAAGCCGCTGGACCTCATGCAGCGCCTCTTCATTTGCGCGAAGTATTCCATCCGCGATAACTTCATCGTCTCCAACACGTCCACCTACAATTACATCGGCCTCAGCTGCGCACTCATATTCCGCTTTATCTTGTTGTACAGTCTCATTACTTCTATAAACAATATGATTGGTATCACCTCTCTCCTCAGCCTCTGTGACATTGACGATTTCATCTTCTTCTCTATTGGTTTCATCATAAACTACTACTCGAACATCGTTCAATGCCACAACAATGTCTTTTTAATCCTGAAAGTCCAGAGTGTTATTCGGATTCTTAAAATTGATGTTAATGTTATGAAGTCTTTTGTTGTTTCTAACTGGTGTTATATCATTGCTTTGAATTGTGTGTTTATTTTGAGCAATACGTATTATTGCATGTTTCATATAGTCGGTAACGTCTGGGATCATCTATCGAGTTATACTAGTATTACGTTTGACATAAACATCGTGTATGCTTCGTTTATTTTAAGTTTATTGAGACGACTGGTAATTGCATGGGTAAAGGAAATTGAATCAAATGGGGATTGTGATAGTGAATGTTATTGGAACGCAATGTTTGATCTGTATGTGAATATTCTGGAAGCTTACGAATTTCTGAGAATAACGTTTTGTTTACAAGTAAGTAAATGTTTCGCATTATAGTCTTATGTACAAGAAGTTTTTTTATAGCATAACCCGGTATAACCCGGTAAACGAGCAGACGGAATATCTGATGGTAAGCAATCGGCGCCGCCCATGGACACCCGAAACACCAAGGCGTTACAAGTGCGCTACCGGCCTTTTGGGAATTGGGAATTTGAGGATTGTGGAGGATTCGGGGGTTCGGCAGACTAGGGAGGGGGGAGGGGGTAATTGGGCCTCCAGTAACCTCACTCACACGACGAAACACAATGTAAGCGTTACTTCACGTCGGTTTTCTGCTCGGCCGTGGTATCACTCCGGTCGAGCCGGCCCATTCGTGCCGAAGCATGGCTCTCCCACATTTTGTGTGTGTGTGATGTGAAGTGACAAAAGTCACGTTGGTCACGTGTATAACATTAGACAAGATTACCATATTTTTGTCCAGGATGTCACTGTCAGTCAGGATATGATGTAGTCGAGGACAGGTACCTATGCGCATTTAGTAAAGTAGGTAACATAACAGTAATTGTTTTGTACTCTCAGATTGTGTATTACACGATGCACACTGTCTGCCATGGGTTGATGACTGAAGCTATCCTATTGCAATTGAGGAACATAGTCACGACTTCTCAAGACAAGGTAAATATGGGTATAGTAACTTATGATACCTACACTTAAAAACTTTCACTTCTCATACCATCTGAAACCCTGGTAGCATCAAATACATCACAGTAAGACATTTGAAATTGACCTTGGTGTGGTTGATCCAGTGTTCGCAATTAGCAAGCATAAATCCCTTTCTTAAATCGCTGGGACTAAATTATTATATTAGAATTATCCATTCATACTCATATTATAAATGGATATTTTAAGTATTTGATGATCTCTTTATTGGAAGCAACAAGGCTTACTTTAGTGTAACTCTGATGTTTCCAGTTCGGGGTATTTGCGGTGCTATCGCAAATGTGGGTGGTAAAGAACGTCGCCTTACAGATAATACTGTGTGTCGAAAGTGAAAGATTTTACGCGGCTATGGAGCAAGTCCCAAGTATTTGTACAGAGCTGATGCAATCTAGAGGATGTACAGGTAACTAACGTTATATAGGGCTGGAGCAGCGAAAGCAGATAGTCGAGCCATAATTTGAAATTTCTAGGACAATATGATATACAATACATAGCTTTAACGACTTACTATGAACTGCCTCGTTGGCCGAATGGTCGCAAGTGCGACTGCCGGGCAAGGAAGGGGTCTCGGGTTCTATTCCCGAGTCGGGCAAAGTATTACTGGGTTTTAAAAAAAATCTCAGTAGTAGCACGGAGTCTGGAATTGTGTCCGGTATATAGCAAAAGGCTCACCCCCTATTATATGGGACTCATAACATAAATAGTGAAAAGTGGGTGCTACATTGTACAGTGGCATAATGTATACCTGTACTTACCCCTTCGGGGATAAATGGCGTGATGTTATGTTATGAACTGATGTAGTTGCCAAATAAGAATTAAAGTTTACTTCATTACCAATCATTGCTAGAATCACAGGAATGAAGGGTTTAGTGAACCGAATGCCGAAACCCAAAAGGCGTATAGGTACATATTTTGGTTAGTCGAACTATTATTAAAACGTTGATATATTGTACCGAAAATCGTCAAAATTTGTTCATACACAAGTAGTCTTTATACATCGGAAATAAGGTCTACAATGGAGTTAATTCCTAATTTCTCTTCTTTAATTAAAGAAGATTGGTAATTTAATTTCTAATCTGCAGGTACCCAGAGAAGAGTGTGCAAGAACATTCAACGTCTGCAAATGACCTCGTTCGCAAAGATGAGTGCGCTCGGTCTCTTCGTGGTCGATGTGACACTGCCCCTGCGAATAGCTGGAGTTCTCACTTCATATACACTGGCTATTTTACAGTTTGCGCTATCTTAGATTGAATATAGTAATAATATAGAAATATAGAAAATAAAAGGGTTAAGCTAAATTAAACCATTTCAAAATTGC